TTTTCTTCTCATAAAGAATAGACTAAGGGATTTGGATCAAGGATCCAAAAAGAGTCGAAATTTTCGAAATTTTAAAGTTGAAATGTTTTTTAGTCTTTTTTTAAAAGACTTTAAAAGTCCACACTGGCTTTTACAGAGGTGTCACGTATTCTATAAATTTATACTAGTGGTATTAAATTTATGTTGTACGAATTTAAATGTTTAATAACCTCTTTATCGTTCAGTGATATACGAATTAGGCCAGAAAAGTTTGACCTGTAATACAGTCTGAGTAAAAACTTTGTACCCCGTGAAAAAGTTTTGAGAAAATGAAAACAAAAATAAAAGGGACTTAAATATTACTGTACTATTAATTCTTAAAGTACATTGTTAAGAAATTATGCAGGATATTTAATTTCATATTTATTAGAAAAAAGTGGCTGGATACAAGATCAGCATTTAAGAAAAACCTTTAAAAATAGTATATGAAAAGTAATATTAAAAACCATGAAAAATAGTATATGAGAAATAATATAAAAAATGTAGAAACTGAGTAAGAGCAATTTTTCTGAATTACATCAAATATTCTAGTTTTCATGGATGAAACTAGTTTTTGACCAAGTTTGGTATCTATTTTGTACCATTCGTCCTTGAGAGTAGATTTCAACTTAACTGATGATGTAAAATGCCTTCCATTTCGTGCTAAGTATCCCATAAATTCTCTGTTGTATTAAGATTTGGAGACTTAGCAGGCCATTTCAAAGCCTTAACATCATTTACTTGAAACCAAATGTTTGTACTTTTACTAGAATGAATAGTTGCGTTGTCTTAGTGGTATATCGAATTTCCTCTCGCATGAAATTCTGCATTAGGTAAAAGATTACTTTCTTGGACATTTTGGTAAGCTCGAGAATTATTTTGCTCGAAATGAACGTATGAACCCAAACCATTGTAAACAAAATGCCTACAGAGCCATCACCTAATGGGCACTTACAGAATATTTCTTTTGATTTTCCTAAACGATGTCAATAATATTTCCCATTCGGTCCATCCAAATTCCCCTTTTTCCATCAGAAAAAAATAATTTGTATTCTTCAGCTATCCCAGATCTTGACTTGCTGGCTGAAGTTTAAACACTCCATCTTCTGCCTCTGTAGCATCCAAAGTTTAGTTGATTTTGATGTATAAATAAATTTTTCAGACCTTAAAATTGTGTTTAACATCGTTTTGTGACAAACATTTAAACGTGTCACTTGAATAAGTTTTCTGGTTGAATATTTAACAGTCGATGCTAGTCAGCAAACTCTTCTTTCATCAAGCTGGAGCATAGCTTTAGGTTTTGCCCAATGATTCCTTTTACCATAATTGTTCACCAAGGTAAGAGAAAAAAAGAACTACAGAATGACTTCCTTAAGCTCGTAAAGCGATAATTTTAAATAATCTATACTATAGGGGAGAGTGGGGTCAATTGTAACAGGGCACGATTGTAACAGAGCAAATATTTCCAGTGTCGGGTTCTAGATTTGGTTCCTAGGTGATGCACAAGGTGTATTTAATAAATCTACATGTACACCCGTGATGGCAATCATTTTTATGTACTTTTGAAAGAGTTAGATCACAAAAGATATTTTCACGCCATGCAAGTACTTTTTTTGGTATTAGAATATTATATTGTAACAAAGTAATTTTGTTTAAACAAATAAAAATTAGTAACCGAATATGTAAGTGGACACCTTAATTAACATTTCAATAAAAAAAAGATTAGTTTTGCTAATTAACTAACATTGTTTTTAACAAATGAAGCTGAAATGGCGTCTTGGGGACAATTGTAACAATAAGTAAAGGGACGATTGTAACAGCTGAAAATAAATAATCTTATGTTTACAAAGCATTACTTAAGTCTTTAAGAACCACCAATAGTTTCCTATATCATTTATATTATGTTGCATGTGCATTATTTTATTTGTCACCTTTCACAGCATAAATTAAAATTTTTAACCCCTTAAAGTTAAAAGCTTAACCCTTTAGGTCTCTGCTCATTATTATTTTTACTCCTAAAATATCACTACTTTTTTGATCAATAAAGAAATATATCACAACTATGATACTATGTATAATTAACTATGTTTTAGTTGAATTTATGAACTGTTACAATTGACCCCGTAAGTGGGGACAATTGTAACAGGTGCTCGACTGTCAAAAATTGTTAATAACTAATATAATAACATTTAAAATTAGGTATTTATTTTTTTTTCTAGTAGAGGATAGTCTACTTTACTCGTCTGTCAATTAATACTAATAATATATTGGATTTTTTGTTAGTTAAAAAAAGTTAAGTAAAAAATGTTACAATTGACCCCACTCTCCCCTACTGATATAAAGTATTACCTAGACTTTAAAAGGGATAAAATATTCAAATAAGAAAAATTACTTTTTAGTAAATTGGCAATTTATTGAGATTTTTTCTCTTCCTTAGATTTAAATTATTAACCATTAATAGCTACTCACAGGACAAAATGACTTGAGTATGTGATGCAATTGATGCAACCTAGTATACAAACTATTATGGGTTAAACTCAATGAAAATTTTTACTTATTTTTATGAGTGTAAACAATGCAGCGTTGGTGTAGCTTTAGAAATATTAAAAAATTGGACCAAAATTCTTTTCATTTTCATCTAAATTTCTTGTGGTTTTCCTACTTATTGACATTTTCTGCTATTTTCGTATGTAGCATAGACGGCGCAGGTCAACTTAATGGTTATGAATAAATGTTATATTCTTACAACAGTTATAAAACTAGCATATTGTGAAAGCTTTAGGGTTATTTCCTAAGATGGCAGAGCATTCGAAGAACGCCTTTATTGATTTAGAGCTGAAGGTTGTGACACCCAGAAGAAATCTGCAACGTAGTCTCAGCGTAATATTGGTGTTATTATTGATGGCGAGGGTCCGCCAATTACTGACTACACTGTTCATATACATGGTGCAGTGTCACATTTCCTTATTTCAATTTTGAAAATTAATCTGTCTTCGGATCATCCTCAGGGATGTTTCCCAAACCGTCGCTAATAGCCCATTACGCAGCTCTAGTGCGACGTAAATGAACAACAACAACAAAAATTTATCCTTCTTGAATAATATATTGCTAATCAATTTTAAATAGAATATCAGCTCCTACTATTCATATGCAAAATGTACAGTGAGCAAGAAAAAAAAAAATAAAGGACTACCCTGAATAACTTTTGGTTTAAGGATCGTATTTTCGAGTTCTAGACTTCATTCTTAATGGTTTAAAGGGTGGTACTTTTTTTGACTCACAGCATTTATATTCTACAACGCTGCATATGCAGTATTTTGTACTTGAAAAGGTTTTTTCATCAAAATGAAAATTCATATAAAGTATAATTTAAGAAATTTAGAAAATTTCTTATTCTGCTCCGTTGATTTGTCCTCAAATCATGGTTTAGAAATCTGGTCACGTTACGCAAGGCGACTAATTTTCTAAACCACGATTTCTAAACAATTTCACATTAAGGTACCTTAATGTAAAATCTGATTTATCCTTTCCATTTGTAGGAGCCATTTCCTTAAGGAGCATTCATCTTAGATGCGGTTGCCTCACATCTGAGTAATTTCGAAGAAATGTAAGAGCCTATAATTGGTAAAATATATTTTTTCGTGAAAAATTCCTCAATCATGTTAGTTTTCTCTCTGAACGGTGCCGCATTAGCCATACGATTTGAATGCTCCTTTAAGTACATTAAGACAACCTGATACGTCTGTCACTTCATCTGTTTTTTCCAGATGCAAGGTGAAAGATCCTGTATGGTGTAAGTACTCATTCATGACATTTAGTTTCATTTTACACCATTATTTTGAGTCCCGCAGTGGACTGATCGTCAAGACACGGTTCCCAGCAGATCACCGATGTCAAGCATCACTGGCTGCGGTCAATGTGCGGGTGGGTGACCTCTTGGATCAGTCTGCGTAGGGACCGAGGGTGTGCGGTATTGGTCCTCGTTAAACTGTTCTACCGTAAAGTGCTCGACTTCACGTGCAGGTCGTCGGGCTACCGAAGCGGGGGTGCCATTCCCTCTGTTGAGGATCAAAACTGTGATGGCATGTCTTCGGATCATCCTCCGGGATGTTTCCCAGACCGTCGCCAATAGCCCATTGTGCAGCTCCAGTGCGACGTAAATGAACAAATCAACAAATCAATCAACCATTATTTCGCATATTCTGAACTGGTGCGTTCACATTCAGTGAGAATGGCTCTTCAATTTGCCAAGGGTTTGTCTCATCTCTGCTTACACAGCTACAATTGGGTATAATATGAAAAAAACACAACTACTTCGATTTAGTAGGAACAACATATGACGCAATGCTAAACGAATGGAATTTAGTTGTTGTTTATTTAGTTATTGTTATTAGTAGTTGTTGTTATTTGTTTTAGTTGTTGTTTATTTAGTTGTATTTAGTTTCAATAACTTTTCTTTATAATGCAATAAAATCTGGCGAGCAGCTATTTAAACGATCGAACACTTCGTTTGTTTATTTGTGGCTTGAAGTTAGGCTCGCAGAAAATGCCGTTCATGGGTTAAATTTAGTAGGAACAACACAACCTGTGACGTAGGCTATATTATACCCAATTTCGAAATTACAAGGTTTAGAGACCGTTCTCGCTTTACGCTAAAAAATCACAAATGATTACTTTTTCCCGCGAAACATAAGCCAATCAATTTTTCTCTCGCATCTCCGAATTCACTGATAGTGAAACATCCACATTTGTGATTTTTTTCCGCAATCATTGAGATCAGCCTTTAATAGCTCCATTTCCCTTACTTGCTGTTCACGAACCTCTGATTACTTGAAGATTATCCTCACTGATTGAAAAGATTTACAAAGAATAACTTGCTGCATTCGCTCGCATGTGACGAATACATATTTAGTGAGAATGGTCCTTCAAAAAACCAGTCCAAAATAACAAAAACCTTCATTTAAGGTTTCTTTAATCACGCAGAAATAGAAACAATAAAGCTTTAAGGAAAGCTAAAAAAAAAAGTAAACATCAACGCGTGCGAAGAGGGAGTGCAGAGTAGTTAAACTTAGTTTCACTATCAGCTGCATCATTACAGTCATCCCAGATCAATTATTAAACCGGAATCGTGTTAGTTTGAAAATTTTCTCTGAAAAATAAATTTTCCCTTAAAACGATTCAGAGAATATTAAGACAAAAGGGATTCCAGATATTTTGATTATGAGTTTTGTTAAGTGTTTGAATTGTGATGTTTGCAAAAGATATTTTAATATATCTGATGAGCACTTCCCGGAAGAGTTGTATGATCTTATTAAAAAATATAATATTGATCAGTTAATTTGGCTGTGCCAGGTTTGTAAGGCCGAAAAAGATGATTCTCCTCGTTTTATGAATGTTTTAATGGGTGAGGTGAAGAATAATACTGAAGAATTGAAGAATATTAATGATATGCTGATTAATATGAATGATTCAATTCAAAGCATTCAGAAATCAAAAACCTTCGATTTACGAAAGGTATTTTTGTCTAGTTTATTATTTAATATTTGTATTCCCTTTTCCCCCCCAACAGATCTAAATGTAGACAAATAAAACAATATAGCTCTTCATTTAGACAAAGCAAAATGCATCAAAACTTTCAATGTTTTCAATATTAATTAGTTTTTTGAATTCAGTTTTCTTAATTGTTACCTGACCATTTAAAAAGAATTAATTAATACTGTATATTGGTAATAATTGTTAACAGTTTATTTAAATTTTTAGTAAAAATAACAATGAAATTTAGGTTATGAGTATGTTTTACTCTTAATTCTAAGGATTAAATGCGAATATTTCCGCATCGTGATTCTTCACTCCAGCTACAACCCCCTAGGAGCCGAATGGATTTTAAACATGCAATTTTTTTATAGAAAAAAATATGCAGAAGTTTGTCCAGGCCTTCAAATTTCTCTTTTTTTTGAAATTTTTTTTTTAGTTTCTTCCCGGCCGCTGTCAAGAAAAATCAGAAATCTTCCCAAGCAAACAAACTTTGATTAGGATCAATAAATTTCCTGGGAATTTAAGAAAATGCTAGATTTTAGTTCAGTGCAGTGAAAACCTTTAATAAAATTCTCGTAATTTGTAAACTTTCACAATCAAAATTCTTAAAATTTTGTTTAAAAAAACAATAACACGAAATTAACATGTCATAATTTCTGTCTTGTTACTGGTCTAAAAGAAAATTACTATTGATCAAGTCTAAAATTAAGTTTAAAGTTAGTATTTAAAGGTGAGACAATGCTCTATTTCCGGTCACATTAACGGTTTTAAAACATGGGTTGCCAATTATCGATATCCCCTCTTTTTGAAATTGACCCCTTTTTCTTTTTAAATCTCCCTCTGCTTTAGAAGGGTGTTGTTGCAAAATTCATTTGCTAGAGTGGAAAGGATCCATGTACAAAAAGAGCAATGCTTTGGGATGGCAAGTCTTTCACAGTGCGAAAATTAAGGAAAAAAAATCATTGAAAAAACTGCCCTGGAGGAAATAGGTTTCTTACTATTCATCTGGAAATAATTCATTTTGTAAAAATGTCAAATATTGAAATAATTTTTTTAATCGCATAATTGCAACATAGATATATACATATAATTGCAATATAGATATATACATATATATAATTGCAACATAAAATTTTAGTATTAATTTCTAAGGTATTTTAGTATTAATTTCTAAGGTCTAATTTTCAAACTCATTAAGTATGTGAAAATTAAATAGTAACAATTCGGGATGAAAAATAAACTTAAGTTCTTAAGAGATTAAAATAACTGTAATTAAATAAATAATAATTGTAAAACTAAGTTTTATCATCATATAAAGAATTGTTTTATGATCAATCATATTTTTTTTAGTATAGTTAAATTAATACATCACACACTAAATATGTAATTAAAACTCACATATTGAATTCACAACTTCAAAGGGCATTACTAATTTTTATAGTAAAATGAAGAATGAATACTCAAACCAATTCTTAAATAAAATGATATAAATATTTCAAACTTGTGTATAAAAGTAAAATAAATAATATGAAAATAGCTATTTTTTTTTAAATAGATGAGAAAAAGCTTTAACTTTCTCGTACTATATAAAATAAGTTGTTTTATTTTGAGCTATTCTTATTACATTTATTGCTAAGGAATTTATTGGTGATTTTTTTGTTTCTGCTATTTAATCCAATTTCTTCTGGTGTCCTGAAGGAGTTTCTCCCAAACAAAATATGAACCCTGCCAATGAATAAGCTAGTTTTAATATTAATGTTTCTTCATTATAAAGCATTGCATTGATGATATCTTGTTTTTATAGGCTGATGATTACAATAACTTTGATTCATCTGGTTTTTATGATAGTGGTGATGATAGTGGACTTTCATTTCTTTCTACATCTTTGAGTGCCAATTCTGGTGGTAATAGCTCTCCCACTGGTAGCAGCACTTCTACCATATTGCTGTCTACTGATAAAAATTCTCCTTCTAATAACAGTGCTCATAAGTTATTGAGTAAAATATTGGAAGACATCAAACCTGCTGAAGACGAAGGAAAGGAAAGCCGAGAGATTGTTGGCACTTTTATGAATACTTTGATTAAAAAACTGAAAGAGGACCCAGAATTCAATTGTTTATACAATCAGCCTTACTATACTGGCAGTTCTTATAATGATTTGCGAATAACATCTGCAACAGAGTATGATATCGATATCATTTTGAAACCTCCACCAGGAATTTCTTTGAAGGTAAAAAGGAAATATATTCCCTTCAGTTTGAAAATATTTTTGTTGTTGTTGTTTTGTTTTATATATTCAAACCATAACACTAAAAAACTGGAAACTATTTGGCCTTATTCAAAAAGTAAGTTGAATGGAAAAAACTTATTTTTGATCGTTAGTTTGAAATTCAAAAAAATGTTTGCTCTAACAAATGCCAAGCTAAAGTAAATGTTTGGGAGGGCAAAAGCAGTGCTTGAAATATGGCTATATTTAAATGGTTTGATTTATAAATAATAAATTTAATGGTTTGGTTTATAAATAATGAAGTAGGATAAATGTTATTAATAGATATTAGAAATTGTTAAGTTGTCATATTGATCCCAAATCAGTATACCTGTATTCAAGGTTTAATCACTGATAAATTAGTTTTAAGCAGTGATAAAGTCATATAATTTAATGTTCAAATTCTAACCTTGAAAAGAAAAAAAGTCTAGAGAAATTATAAGAATTTTTCTATTATTACCACTTATTCCTTTTTAAAGTCTAGTCTAAGTGCAATGTCATTTTAACGTTTATACTGAACCATTCTTTTAGGTATAGTGACTAAAATTTAGTAATTTAATTCGCCAAAAGTTACAAAGAAATAATTTAAATCATTACTTCTTCTGAAGATTCTGGCAATTAATTGTGAAGCATCTCAATTTTCCTTTGATTAAAGAGTAGAATCCCCCATAGATTCTAATCTTAGGTGGTTATGCTCTATGGTCAAAAGTTTCTGAAATAATATTGATCAAATCACGTTGATGATCAAAAGTCTTGGATCTTGGGATGTTGCCAAATAAAATAATCAATATATTCTGAAATTTTGTTAATCAAAATTTTAGAAACTGTAAAATAGTTTTTAATGGGATTTGATTGAATTTTACAAGCAAAATTTTGATGGTGTATGCATTCTTCGCATGCCTGGCTAGGTAATAGCCAGTCAAGAGCTTAGACAAAAATTAGCCTTATGCATTTATTAGATTAAAAAGATATATTTACAATTTGTGGAAATTTTGTTTTAAAGGGTATAGTTAATTTATAAATCATACTTTTAATGTTTGAAAAAATATTCACTCTTTTTGTGAAATACCAATCACTTTGGGTATTTTTTTTCCATGTTTTTTTTTAAATATTTTTTTATTGGTTTTTATATTTGGTATGGAACGAAAGAATGGCCATTCTGAATTAGTGTATTATTCTTAATGCATTATAATTATTTTAAGGAATACTTTTATGTATATACTAACATTAAACATAAGCTGTGTTATTATTAATCATATTCTCTTTATCATTTTGTATTTAATACACCATTTATCTATTGTGGTTAATCCTAATCCTTTAATTTCATTTTGTCTATTGCAATTACAATACTTCGATGATGAAAATATTAGAATTATGATAACCAAATAATTGTTGATATGCATGTATCTACTAATAATGTAAATTGATAGATCAATAGGAATTTACAATCTTTAACTGCCATATTCTCTGTTTTGCAGGTTCAATTTTTCGAAAAGACTTGTGTGTTTGCTAAAATCAAGTGGGAGAAGTTGAAAGAGTTTTCTGAAAAAGAACAATATATTTTGACATGGTTTGAAAAACGGTCAGAAAAATGCTCTGATGGCTTTTATCTTCATCCAGGGAGAATTAATTCATGGCTTCAAGGAAAACTTGTGAAATGTTTTAATAATTTTCCTTCATGGGAGGGAATGGAAAAAGTAAGTTTCTTCATTGCATGAGTTCATTGAATTAATAATGGTGAATAGTATGGCAAAGACAATAGATAGTGCACAAAAACTGATAGCGAAAGTAAACAACATGACCTGACGCTTGTTATTACGTTTGTTGATATGCTCCAAGGTCAATACAATTAGTAATGATGTGACTTGTGACCAATGCGTAAAAAAATGTTGATTCATTGTGGAAACGGAAAAATAGTTTTTAATGGGATTTGATTGAATTTTACAAGCAAAATTTTGATTGTGCACATGTGATCTTCGCATTCCTGGCTAGATAATAGGCAGTGGTTGGAAGTAGTGCACTATAAGTAGTGAAACTGCTGTAGTCGCTGCGTTTTTTCGTAGTTTTTGTGTAGTGTGTTACTTTAAGAAAAAAAAAAATAATGTAGTGAGTAGTACGATACAAAAAAAAGCAGTAACTTGTAGTGATTCCTGGCATCTACTCTTATCGTTAACCTCGAAAAGAACCACTGTTTTAATGCAGCTAATTTTTCAAATTTTATTGGTTACAAATCTTCGTGTGTCCATCATTGGATGCAATGAAAATGACCTTGTGGTTGCAGCTGAGCGTTAACAGAAATCGTGTATTGAAAAATCATATATAACTAATATTTGAACTTGCCATTACTAAAAATAGATAATTCATTACTTTGGTGAAATTTTCTCATCCAAATGCACTCTCATGAAACATTGATATTATTTAAAAGGAAAGAAACATATTTTTGATGCACTTAATTTCTTAGAGGAGATAAAAGAGCATTAAACAATTAAAACATCTAAGTTCGTCTCATTAAAGTAGTGAAATAGTTAATAAATTTCTTAAGTAGTTTGAAGGCACTACATTTAAAAAAAGTAGTAGTAGTTGTAGTTAACTACATTTATAACAAAGTAGTAGTAGTTGTAGTTAACTACATTTATAACAAAGTAGTAGTAGTAAACTGCAAAAATAATGTAGTTTTTCCGACCACTGGCAATAGATATGCAATCATTTAATCAGGAATACATATTCAGCGCCCCTCACATTTTGACAATATCTCCAAAATGGGAGATTTGACAGATAAACTTTGTCAAAGAGGGAAAAAAATTAGACCCAAATTTAGACCCAAGTTACTTTAAGTTTATTTATATCAGTTAGAATATATGAAACAAAGTTATATTTTTCATTTTCCTAGTCATGTTTTTTTTATTATTTAAAAAAAGTTTTCTCTAATAGTGGCTGTGCCTAAAAAAATAATAATTATGAAAATTAAAATTGCAATCAGAAAGTGAACACATTTGTGAAATCTTTTTTATAATTCTTACTTAAAACCTGCTTTCAAACTGAAGTGTAGTTCTATAATGTTAGAGCTGTTGGTCTCCCCACCATTTCCCCTTGATTAATAATAGTTACATTCATATGTATTTATTGATGTGTGTTCAAAAAAGATGTTTATGCATGTAATAGCTTCATTTTGGCACAGAGCATGAAATAATTTTGTAATTTTCCAAGCCCTACAGTTTTAGATGCTATTGTATTGATTTATTTCAATTAAAACAGAATTTCAGTAGATCTCCGTATTTACAAAACAGTCTAGATTGAGACTTAACTAGTTAACTCTAAATCTGGAAACTTCATAAAACAGACAAAAACTGGTTATTTTTTTGTGTCTGATGTTGTTTGGGAGAAAGTAAATTTTTTTTCTCCAATATAAATCAAAACATGCAAAAGGTACTGTCTAATTTATTATTATAATATTGAATTTTTTTTGTAAATAATATACTTGATACTTCTTATGTGTGCAGCTCTAGTGCGACGTAAATTAACAACAACAACAACTTATTTGTAATTTAAATATAATTGTTAATGTATTGATGTATGATGTAAGTATAATGTTGTTAATGTCATTTTTATTATAAATTTAAAGGATGATATAGGATGGCTTACTTTTAAAAAAGTTAAATTGATACTACCCAACAGTTTTTGGATGATGCCCCTTCTAATATAAAAAGTGAAAAGCTGCATTTTGGGCATATTTTACTTTTTTTATTATCAAAAAGGCAAAAATGCTGCAAAGACAGGAAAAAAAATATCCGAAATGAAATGAAACTACTTTCTGAAAAATCCAGTATATGTATAAATACATAAATCAGGTCAGTTGATATCTCTAGTGCTATGTTGTTTTCATTGTTGCTTTTCTTCAATTTTGTAATGCATTTAATAGCACCACTTTTTGCATTTTTTCAGAAATGCATAAAAATATCTCCTACACCTAGGAAATACTTTTAAAAAGAAGTCTTCTTTTCTGAGAAAATTTAACAGAATATTGACCAGCAAGGAGCCGTTTTCAATAACACAGAGTAAAAATCAACAACAATTTTTTTTAAAGCCTTTTTATAGAATCTGAATGTCTTTCAAAGTGTGCAAGGTGAAAGATATTATCCTGCAGAAAAAAATAGCACTTATAAAAACAAAATCAATGCTCAATGATTGCTAACTGTCTGTGTTAGAAAATACAGATTAGCTGTATGTATTTTTTATTGATTTCCTTTAGCATTAACTAGTATTTTCGTTGTATGAAATATAACGGAATAAAAAAAATTATTTCTCTTTTCCATTTAGCCAAAATTAGTAACGAGTGGCCCTGCTAGTACTGTCAAGATAACTACCACCACTGGGAAATGCATCGATTTAGATTTAGTGCCTGTGTTCAAATTTGACTACTCCATATTTTCTGAATCCAACACTCCAAAGCTGCTTCGTGAATTCAAAGTAACCTCTGATGTAAGTTTGATTGCAAATTATTAAATTTTAAATGATCTATTCTTACTTTTGTTTAAAAATGCCAATAGTGTATATGCTATATAAATGTAATTATAAGCACTAAAACTTTTTTTTTTTTTTTGAAGGAAGGAATTTAGATTTATAAAATAAAAAAGTGTATTACTTGGACTAAAATTCTGGAACAGCATTCTGCTCCCAAAAAGAATGTGGTATAGGTGTTTTTTTGGCCTGACTACACCCCTGTTTGCTCTGTGCAATGCAAAGAAAAAAAAAGTTTGCAGTTTTTATAATAACAACCTGGAACTTTTTGTCCACTATTAACTTATATGTCATATAAATTAGGTGTGTTCAAAATTTCTACTACATATTGCCGATTTCTGAGCTTGTGTGGAGGGCAATCCCTAGGAACTGCTGTGGAAAATGTCATGAAAAATGAAGAGCAGTGTTGGAGCAGTTAAAATATTTAAAAGAAATCACTGATTTAAATTATATATTTATCTAAAAAGTACTATTTATACAAAACTCCATAAGGCTGTGATAGTAAATCATTGATATCAAAACTCATTGATAATAAATGTTTTATTCATAGAAAAAAAAATTAATAAATTGAGAGATACTAATGTATTATTTTTTTACGAGTTTAAATGTAGATAAGAATGTAACTTTTAAATTATAATTTTTTATTATTACTTATTTATCTTTTTCATATTTTGATGTACTTGTCCTTCCTAACCGGATTTGACTATGATTGAGGGAGGTATCGTAATAAGAATATAACTTTTAAATTAGAATTTTTTATTATTACTTATATATCTTTTTTATATTTTAATGTACTTGTCGTTCATAACGGGATTTGACTATGATTGAGGGAGGCATCGTAATAAGAATGTAACTTTTAAATTATAATTTTTTATTGTTTCTTATATATCTTTTTCATATTTTAATGTACTTGTTGTTCCTAACCGGATTTGACTATGATTGAGGGAGGTATCGTAATAAGAATGTAACTTTTAAATTATAATTTTTTATTATTTCTTATATATCTTTATCATATTTTAATGTACTTGTCGTTCCTAACGGGATTTGACTATGATTGAGGGAGGTATCGTAATAAAAATGTAACTTTTAAATTAGAATTTTTTATTGTTTCTTATATATCTTTTTCATATTTTAATGTACTTGTCGTTCCTAACTGGATTTGACTATGATTGAGGGAGGCATCATATCTATATGAATGACAACATTTTAAAAACACACAAAAAAGCATTTATTTTAAACAAAAAGTAACAAAAAAGCACAGCGTTTCAAAATATTATCAAAGCCCATCAGTTCTTTTTTACATCTGTTGCCATTCACAGAGAAACTCAAATATCCAAAACAAGTTTTGCGGCGCTGGCTCAAGCCACTTGAGGCCTGATAGGTGGCGTTGCACACCCGCCTACACTGCAGTTGGTATTTGACGCAACAGTACTCATTGTAGTTAGTAAAATAAATTGCTGTTTTATTATTAATAAATATATTTCAATTATACCCATTTAGTTTTATACACATATTTTGTAAATAATAATTTTGAAAATATTTCGAATTTCGAAAATTGAATTTTTTTTTTATAAATTACATATTATCATTGAAGCTTAAGAAAAGTGCTTATTTCATTTTGAGGTGCAGGGGTGATTGTGCTCCGGAAAAAATCCAGATTGCCGGATTTTTTGCTAACCGCGATCCGAAAGTTTCCGTAAATCCGAAGTCCAGAAGTTTCAAGAAATCATCGATCACATTTATGTATAAAAATTCTTGTATATTTTATTTAAAAATATTAGAACTGGAATTTATGCTTGGCATCTCTTTCATTTGTAAATATTTTTACTGGTTGAATAATAAATGTGATTAGAGATAAAAGTAAACTTAACTTACACATAATTATTCATTTAAATTATGCTGCATATAATTCATTCAGAATATCATGTTTTGAAAATTTCAATGATTTAAATTTATAAAGATATAAAATTTTTGAAGGATTTTACTCAAGAAATTTTCAGGAATTTTGAGTTGAACCCACAATTACCCCTGGAGGTGTAAATGATAAGCAAAAAACAAAAATTATCTAAGTTTAAACTGTTTCGTAAAAATTGTAGCATTTTAGCAAAAAATTATAGCATTTTAATTAGAAATAGAACTGTTTGTTTTAGAAATATAACTGTTTATTTGAATAAATCATTACAAAAGTTCTCCCTGAGATGAATTTGAAACCCTAATTGTAAGTATGATCATTTTGTAAATGCTGTTAAAAGTCATAGTTTCACAATAAATTAAATATATACCATTAAAGCAATGTGGTAATTAAATTTTCAATTGAGGTCAAATTTACTGATTATATAATAGACAAGCTTCAATTTGAATTATTATTTAATTTTATTTTAACTTTTTAAAAGGATAAATAGTTATTAAATGATTAAGTACTTAATGACTGCTTCATGACCAAAGTCATATAAGTTGTATTCAATATAGTAAGCCTGTTTGTAAGTATAATTATCAAATTTTAGTTTTGAACTAACCAAATAAGTTATGAATATTATGTAAGGAACAGAGGCTTAGCTCCCAACTTAGTTTGAATTTTATCCCAATTGAATGAGGAACTGAAATATCTTAATTGGATAATTTTTAATTTTAATCTAACAATTTGTTTAAAGTAACAAAAATGATTGTAAAACAATCATTAGGAATTGGTAAAAAAGAATCATGTAAGCAGAATTTTAAAAAAAAAGTTAAATGTTTGGTATCTTATCTATATATTCTTCCATTATTTTCTTTAATTTATAAATGTAATATGCTTTTTAGCTAAAATTTATTTTTTCTTGGTTGCTAATTATTATTTTTACAGAAAGAAATGTGCTTATTTGTACCCAAACCACTGAAGGCTGGAGGCAAGTCGCCAACCAACTTATCGCCAGACATAAACAGTGTCTGGAGATTAGATATGCCAGAATATGAGAAAGCAATTTTGAGCAGCAAAGCTTGTGCCAAATGTGTAATAAAGCTTTTGAAGGTTTGTTCCAATATCAATAGTGCTTTTGGAAATAGTTGAAGTTTTATTGGATGTGTTTAAAGTTCTTTAATATTGGATTAACAATTACTGTGTGATGTGTATTTACAAATTTTTAAAAAAAATGAAATATGTATATTTCATGGATGCACAACTGATGTCCAAAACCTTTGAATTGGCCTATAACCAATCTTTAATAATAATAATAATATATATAAAATAAACATTTTGGAAAAAAAGAATATTAAAGTTGTTTTGTACTTCTAAAGCTCTACCATTATGTCAAATAACAATTTTTAGCTGATAGTATGTTATTTTTATAACTGGTGCAAGTTTGTAGCAGTTATTCAAGGTGTTAGTTTAAGTTTTGCGCATTTTCAACCGGTACCCTCTATGCTAATTATGTAAATAATCCAAAATATTAATAATTAAAAAAAAAAAAGCAGTTCTGTAAGAACCAAAAATGGTCATGACTAAAGCAAAAAAGTAATCTGAATAGAGCATAAGTGAAAATACAGAATTGGGTGCCGAATTCCATTTCTGTACATTATTTCCATTGCTCTACTTTAATTTGTGCTTCATTCACATTTTGCTTTAGTTTAAATGTTACTTCCACTTACTGTCTAGGCTTTTAAAAACATGCATTATTCGAGAATTATTTATTGAGTTTGAAGATTTTGCTTTAGGTAACTAGGTAAAAAAAATCTGCTCAAATCTATGTTTTATTTTTATTTTTAAATCTAATAATTTTTTTCATTATGTACGCTATTTGTTCTTTTTAAACCTAAGATAATTCTTTTCAGTAAAGTGGTATATTTAATTTAAAATTATAGTTTTGCTGCGAATTTGTCTTAAACTGTTAGCTAGGTGGCTCAGCAGCCAGTGTGCTTGACTATTAAGCCAATGGTTGTGGGTTCAAATCCCGCTCAAGGCATGGATGCTTTTTTCTGTTGGGTGATGTGTGAATATGGTGCGCCCAAAAAACGAGTCTGTGATCATGTGGCATGGGTAATATTGCCCATCTCCATGACTTTAGCTCTGAAGTGCCCACTAGCTAACATTAAATGAGCTAAACTTCCAGCAACTTCTGAGGCAAAGAACAAGAAATTCAGTGCCTGCTGTTCTCCCAAATTAAAATTCTCCTAAATTATTGCTTTTTTTTATTTCTTTGACAAAATTGTTTTAGGAACATCTTTATAAAGCTTGTTTTTTACTAATTTTATTCAGTGGAGAAAAAGTTTAAAAATGTGACGTATGTCACAGCAAAAAAAGTTTCTGGTGAGAAATTTATGTGTTGAGTGTGATATTTTTAATGATAATTGTGAATACTATAAAATTGAGCTTAAAAATAAAATACAATATAACCTGATTATGATATTTTGATGACCAGATAAAAATATTGTTATGGGACTGATATATTCACAAAGTTTTTTTTATTTCCAATGAGCTGCACAATCGGTCTTGCCGATGAGCAGACCTAGTGCGTTCTCCAGAGGTGATATCCACTTTTTTCAGTGACCACCACAATGGGTGAGATATCGTTGGTCATGTTAATTTGGACGTCTAGTTTCTGCCACACTAGATGGCAGCACCGAGACTCTATTTGGATGCTAAAGTGCACTAGGAATTTAATTTTGCTGGAAATGCCAAGAGCCAATAAGGCACTCCAGGGATCTTTTACATTCGGCATAATCATACGACATGGCCGCTGAGGATTTTCTGCATCCCGAAAATCCGGTGTCTGGGCCGGGGATCGAACCCGCAGACTTGGGCTCAGAAGGCCAACGACAAATCAACTGCGCCACCCAGCCACATATTCACAAAGTAAAAAGTTTAAATTTTGGCTGTTTGGTTAAAGTGTAACAGAATGTATTTTGATAAAAAATTATGTCAAAGCATACTGAAATTTGAAAATTTCGATATGCAATAGAATAATGTATTTTTTTATTGCATGTTTAAATTTGTTAAATGATCTATTTTAGTTATGACAAATTATTAGGATTTAGAAAGAGTAAAAAAAAAAAAGAGGATAATCTTTTATAAGGCATTGAATAGGAAAATAAAACCTGGCATGTTTGATATTAAAAAAGGAAAGAGATTTCTGTAATTAGTTATCATTTTGTTATAATTTTTGCTTTGTATTTTAGTCAAAGTTCACTTCATTTTTCAGTTAATGCGAGATAATATGGATTGGAAAGGGATTGCCTCATATTACTTAAAAACCTTAGTTATGATTAAGATACAAGAAAATCCTTCAGAGGAATATTGGAAACACACATATCTGTATGAAAGATTAATGGAGGTATGAATTTGTTGTTTTGGTTTAGAATGGCTAAAAATATTTGTTTTATTTATTTTAAAGGGTGTGACACTATTTGTGTCTGTTCGACCAAAGGCTTGTTTTTTTAAGCTAACTTATTGACTACATTGTAAATAAAAAACTTATTTATATCTATCTATATATATATATAATTTAACATTATTTAAAATGTTTTTTCCTACTATTTGTAAGTTATTTGAGAAAAAAACAATATTTTGTGAAATTAAGTGCATGCATAATAATAGTCTAACATATTAATCTAATAGTGTAACACCATATATCTTAAAAACTCATATTCAAGTGTATATTATTTGTACAATTACTGTTACAGAGTTTTTTATTCAAAATTTTTTGTTAGTTATTTAGTCTTCTGGAAGTGTTCAAGGTTTTTTTTTTGGTCAAACCAAATTGAAAGTTTCTATATCAAATTTTAAAATGACATGTAATGTTTAAGGTGAGGTTTATCATTTGATAATTACAACTGTACTATAAGTGCAATTACTAATACAAAAAAGTTTTTTTTTTTATGAAATGTTTTGTAATTTTTTTTGTAAAATTCAAATTATTGACCCAGAAACAGGATTCCCATTCTTCCTTAAGGGCTTTAAAACCTACTTAATTTTTATTTTGGAAAATAAAGGCCCTTAAAAGTATTTATTTTTGGTTCAAGGTTTTTAAAAGTTCTTCATTTCAGTTATCTCTAGTTGATTGGAACAATTTTTAAATCTTATAAAAATATTTAAAACAAAGAGTCTGTCTTTCTTTCACCTAGAATGAGACTCTGCAAAGAGGGTAGAACATTTTGTGAACCCCGGAGAAGGATGTTGTTAGGGTGGCTACTGGCAAGGGGAAAAAAAAGCATGCCCTTGGTGCGATTCTTTCATTAAAATTATTTTATTGTTATTTTATTCTTCTCTTTGTCTAGAGACCACATGTTTAACATTCTGAATGAAACCAATAGGGTGAGGGGGAATAGAATACTGCATGTTTTAGAGATCTTGCTTTTGTTGGAGGTATTCACATTGAATTTCAATATCAAAAGAGTTAAAAAAATTCAATTCTACTGGTAGCGCACATGTTTATAGAAATGAAGTAACAAAAAAAGTTTCAATCCATTGTTCACGTTTTTTAGTAATAGTTGATTCCTAATCAACAATTAGTAAAAATCGTGAAGAATTATTTAAATAAGTGTGTATGATATTTCAAAGTGTAATAAGTAATTGTAAAATTTTAAAGAACTATAATATTTTTTAAAATTTTCAATTGTACTCAGAAGTTACCAGTTCTGTAATAAATACAATTGTATTAGTACTTGCTATCTAATATAAATTGTTTTTTTCCCTTCTTTTTTAGAATGATAAATAATTGGTACTGTCACTGTGGGTATATGCATACCCTCCAACTTATGAGGATTTTGAAAATAATTCTTTCTAGTGGTAGCGAACCAAAGTAGAAATTTTTAAAGCAAATGGATCTCTCCTAAAACTTTTATCAGAACTTAAGAATCTAGCCATATGGCCTGCACTTTTATAAGTAATAGTGGACAAGTTACGCTAAAATTAATTTTTTTTTAAATATTAAGACATTAATTTTGCTACCGTCTGAAAAGAAGATTTCTGAAACTACGGAAATTCCGTAGCAGTTGGAGGGTATGGGTATATGTATATTTGATGATAAATAATTATTTTTCATTTTTACATCCTTAATTTGTTTTTAAAAAAAAGTCTCAATACTCCTTAGATTTTGGTCTGATAAAAGAGTAGGAGGAACCTTGAGTGAATTATCAATCAATAACTTAAATAAATTGTTGACATTCAATATATATGTTTGGGGGACCAGAAAGTAATGTCGTTTCGGTGCATTTGATATTTGTTATCAAGATTTTATTTCTAGTCAATAATAAATTCACCCTCGTTAGCAACAACCTTTCAATGCTGGATTAATAATGCATGGAAATGAATAAAAAAAATTGGTTTTTAAGACTATAACAAATATTTAATGCGCCGAAACGACATTACTTTACGGTTTCACTAATATATAAACATGAATATCGGGAATAAGAACTTTAAAATCAAATGCATTAAAACCATTATATTGCTTTGGGAACCAGATAAAGATATTGCTATTTGAGGGATGTATTGTTATGTCAAGTGGTGATATAGTCAATGTAAAAAAGCTTGCTTAGTATATATTTTTATAAAGTTAATATGTATTTTTATAAAGTTGAAGCATTTATACTTTATAAAAATATATATTACAACTATTTTTTAATTTCCCTTTTTTAACAATTTTCCTTTTCAATTGTATTGTTTTTGCTTTGTGCAATTTTTATTTAATTATTTTTATTAAAATTTAAAATTTTTAATTCTTTAGGAAGCAAGAAAATAATTTTCTTTCATTTATTTAAAAATAAATGTTATCAGTACCAAATATTAGATTGAAATATTCTCAATTTTTTTCTTCTTTAGGCATTGAATGAGCTAAAGAAATGTTTGGAGAATAAAGCAATACCATGCTTATTTTCAAGAGATTATAACTTGATTTACCAACTTAATGAGCGTCAGTGTGAAAACTGGGCCAATAAAGTCAAAAGTCATATTACATCTATTACTTCTGATGTTAACTCTTTGAGCAAAATATTGAAAGTAAAATAGTTTGTTCAATGATTTTTTTAATTGTTTTTTGATCAACACTTTTTAATGGTATTTTCTTCTATTATAAATCTGTTAATTCAGTTGCAATTGGTTCATGGCAGACTTTTAATTTCTTACTCATGTTCTTTGGCATAGAATCATTCTATCTACCCTTTTATTTCTGCCCTAGTGCCTTGCATTTTTTTAATCTGACGACCCCAGTCTGTTTAATTTTTTATGAAATTTTTGATTTTTTGTGAATTAGTGTTTGCCATATCATCCTGGAATTTGATGGCATTAAAAGCCCATAAGAGAGAAATTTGTATTATTACGTCTTAAGATTTTTTTACGACATTGCCCCCACCTTCTTTTACATATCTTCTTCTCAGTAGTTGGCATTTTCATTACAGATTTTACTTCACATTAATCAAAGCAATGCAAGTAATCCCAGTATTTTTTAAAATTTTAAGAGAAGGTTGAAATTGTTTATTTTATTTATGGGATTTTATTTTTAATTAAGTGATATTTTTTTCAATATACGTTATTTTTTTATTGTTTTGAAACGTAATTTTTCTTTGTTTTCTTTTTTTCTATTCTTTATGTACTATAGATATATTTTTAACGCATAATATACTCCACAGTAATTGGCATTTTTGTGGCAGATTATACCTAGTGTTAATTGAAACATTCCAAATAATGCCAGTAATCATCTTATTTATGAGAAATTTAAGAAAACACTTAAATTGTTTATTTTATTTACATAAATTTTTTTATTACAAAATTATATATTTTTAATATGCTTTAAGCTAATTTTTTCTGAAACAAATGTTCTTTGTTTGATTTTTCTTTTGTATTCTTTAAGTATTATACATATTACAGGCATACTCCTTACATATTATTACATATCTCTTTCACAATAGTTGACATTTTTATGACATTTTATACCTAGTATTAATCAAAGCAATACAAATAATGCCAGTTATCAGAGAAGGATAATTTTTTGATCTGATTTTTGCCTTTGAACAATTTAAGAAGACAATTAAATTGATTGTTTTATTTATGTGATTTTTTAAATAATGAAGTGATATTTTATCAACAACTTATGAATTGTCTTTTCCCTTAACATAATTTTTCATAGTTTGCCTGTTTTTTTTTTCTCGTTTTATATGTAAATTACATTTAAAAAAGTCAAGTGCCTTGAGTAAATCAAAAGTTTTTTTTTAGTAATGATTTTGTAAATCTAATTTTGAAAATCAAGTTTTTTAAACTCTGATTAGTGAGTAATTTATGAACTCTGCGCTAGAAAATATTTACTAAATTTAGTAAAAGGTATTTGTTTATTTTCTCATGTTTTATAGATTCTTCTCCCTATTCACTTTGCTTTAAAATTAAAATTTTTTTTCACTGAAAAAATCTTTTTTAAAAATTTTACTAAAATTTATAATAATTGTTATGTATTTTCAATTATTCTAACAAATAAGTGAATTATCACTAAATGAAATTATAATAATTTTTTAAATATATATTTTTTATAGATTTGTTTTTTTAGTTTTACTCAAGTATTTTTTTAAGTGTCAATTTTGAAGCATATTATTGAATGTTGTTTCTTTTGATATTTTTGTGCATGTTTAAACTTTGAAAAGGAATCATCTTTAAAATTTATAGTTACAAAATAGTTTTTTCTTTTCAATCTTATTTATTTTGTGTGCAGGTTAGACATCTGAGTTGCACTGCTTAAGCATTACTAACTTCTATTGCAACATAAGCAAACTAGAATATTAATCATAGAGTAGAAAATTGTTTTCTTTTAAGGATCATTTATGGAATTAAGAATTTAATTATGTAGTTTGGAAATTTGGTCTTCAGATTTTTGTGATAGGTATCTGAACAGGCCTATTTTAATTCTAGATTAATTGAACCAAGCTATTTTAAATCCGTTATTCGCTCATAAATAAATTACAGATTGAAAAATAGTTGCATTTAAAGTATTTGCTAATATAACATTAATTCTGTTGGCATTAATAAAATCCTTTAAAATTATACTATATATAGATTAAACAGTACATTTTATATAACTAATAATTATTTTACTTTAAAAGTTTAAGTTTGAGAAGTGTGCAAACATTTTCACCAAGTATTTGGACTCAAAGTTCCTGGAATCAAAATTGATGATTGTTTTTGTTTCCAAAACAATTGCCTATCTCTGTTAACCACATGATTTGTTGGGTACACACCAGCAATGAAAATTTACTGGTCCAATAGGACCACTTAGGTATTCATTTAGTGGTCCTTAATATGGTAGACAAACTAGAGAAAAAATTGAACTTTATAATTACATAATTTATGTCAGACACATGGTGCATATTACCATTAATAACATCTTAAAGCAAATTTGGTTCATTACCCCATAATGATTGAAGATTTTTTAAAATTAAGTGAAAAAAGCTAAACTGATATTAGTAAACAGATTTGACACAGATATTAAAGTAAGTAAATAAATGAGGAAAACAGAAAAAAGTAAGAGCTAACAAAATATTATATTAACAGTTAACTGACTAAAAATTATAAAATTTCAAATAAATTTCAAATGGGAAAATTTTTTTGATCAACAATTATACTGTCAATAAATTTCAAATGGGAAAATTTTTTTAATCAACAATTATACTGTCAATATATGAATGTAAAGTACATTACAACATGTAAATTTGTAATTTCAATATTTATATTTAAAATTTTTTTTATCAGACACTTTCATTTATTCCATTTGTATACCATGCATTTGAATTCCATACCATAAGCAAAACAACAATATTAATACTGAAATTTTTTTAAAATGCTGTGAATTTGATGAAAGAAAAATTGTTCTTCTTACTATTTTGCAGATTCCACATACAGTTTAAGGTGACAAATCTTTCACTTAGGCATATGATTTTGAGTATTGAGTATAGTAAAGTTTAATTATGCGTTTTTTTAATGTAAAAATCCATATGGTTTGTTATTGAAAAATAATTACTAATTAATGCAAACACAGAAACGTTAAAAATTTTGATGAAAAATATTGTTTAAAGTAAAATTTTCTCTTATATCTGGGAAATATATACAAGTTATATAAAGTTTTTATGTTATTATTCTATAATTTTTATGTTGTTAGGCTACACTAGCTGAATACTCGTTGTTTGTATAGGTTGGAAATAAAATAAGTAATCAGTAAATTAGTACATATCAGCACTACAAAATCATGTACATAACTGAAAGGCGTCATATACCAACATAATGGCTGAAGCTAAAAGAATTCTTAATTTTTTCTTTATTATTATTTGTTGCCCTTACCTCTTATTTGATTAAGAAAAACATAATTTTAGAAGTTCATCCCATCAAAATAAGATTAAACTATATTCTGAATCATTTGGCATAATGTTATTGATTGAGGCCTATAGTGAAACTATAGTCACACTATAGTGAAAATTTACCGCAATGAGAGTTTGGTAATGACAGTTTTGTAATAATTGGCTTAAGGAGTGCAACAAAGGAAGTGCTAAGCAAAAGTGTACTTTTCTGTATGTGCCATTTATGTAAAATATATGTTCTTAAACCACTGATTATTATGAAAGTATTTTGTTCAATGGTTGCAGACAAACATGAAAAGTTTTTGAAATGTTTTTATTGGTTATTTATTAATTTATAAAAAGATTTGATAAAATATTAAATACTTAAAATTGGTAGCAATTATTTGCATTTACTAGAATTAATTCCTTATAAAATAAATATACCAATAATAATATAAAAATGTATTTTTTTATGTGTAAAGTTGAGTGTTTATGTGATATTTAAGTTCAGTAGGGTCTCAATAATTCGAGTTTCCCATAAATTCGAGTCAGCTAAAAAAATTAATTTAAGCTCATAAGAATGACCAAAACATATACAAGAAGTGAAAGAATTACTACATCAGCCTAACAAAGTCATCTTAATCTTAAATAATGTATTATGGCATCCAAAAGAGGATAAATTATATTTTGATGGAATCAGGACATTATATATGGGGACATAGGTTTATGACCTCTAGTGACCATAAAATTATGACCACAGAAATCATAAGTTTAATTCAGACCATACATCAATATGCTGTAATGTTTAAATAAATTGTCATATTTCTATCTTCAATCTTTTCTATTATGAGCCTTGGAAAGTAAGGAAACCATTGAATGAAAAATTAAGGTCTACCAATTCCAGTAGCCATGAGGTCTAAAATATTGTAGCAGATGTCCAATATTTTAATAAAATTCTACATAAATGCAAAAAAAAAAAAAAAAAATTATGCTACTTAACATGCTGGTTCCTAGAGTTGGTCGTGACTGCTAAAACATCTCACGTTTGTGAGAACGGGAGTTTGAATCTAGCCGGCTGAAAACTCCCTGTGTAGTAAATGGTGACTGGTGCACATAAATATGTCAGGTCACAAAGTCCTCCATATTCCCATAACAAATCTATACCTCTGGGGGTACTGAATGATAGATTTATCGTTCTCTGGTTCAGGTCAAAATTGCAATCTGCCGATGTATGAATGGGTCCGCCCTATAAATAGGTGTGACATAATGGTGTGGCGGAAGTCGAATTCTTGGTCATAGATGGCTCCACTGGAAAACAAGAACAATCGCAACTTATCTGCCTTAATGGCCGACGACAACAATAACAAACACTTTTCATTTAAATATTAGTATATGTCACATATATGTATGTCATTGAAATTTGAAAATTGCTCTATTTACATTAATTTATTATAAAATTTTATGAATTTGATAAGTTGAATTTTTGGAAGTTCGAGGTGGACCCTACCCAATCCATCTCGAATTATGGAAACTCTACTATATTAAAAAAGAAATAATTAAGAGCTAGAGTTTATTAATGATATGTTGTACAATTATATGGTTGAAATGAACTTAAAAGGATTTTATTTAGTTTTGATAAAATTTAATTTTATATTAGGTGCTATTGAGATGTTTTAAACTTGACATTGGACTTTGCTCAATTTACATTGATTATAAGTTGTAAAGCTATATGTAGACTTAAACTAATAGAATACATAAAAATATCCTGTTACTTTTTTTTAACAATGTTTTAATTGTTAGTACTGAATGAATACTTTTAAAAATAATGGTTTTCTAAAAATTGTTTTGGAACTAAATTAGAATCATTGCAACATTCTTGTATTATTTGTAAGTTGCGATTTTATCTGCTGTAGTAAATGATAATCTCAAGTGACCTATTTTCTTATCTTTTACAAAATTTTTTAAAATTACTGCTGTTTAATAATGCATTTTTTAATAATGAACAGTTGTTATATTAATGATATAGTAACTATTTTTTTAGTTTTTTAAAAACTTTTTTAAAAAATGTAATAAAATTCAATGAGCTTACTTTTAATTTAAAACTTTATTTTAAAATGCTAAAGAGGTACTGAATGAAAATTGGTATTTGTAAAACAATTTTTCTGTTTATGATTTTTATGTTGATTTTATTTGTTTGTAATTTAGTTTTTCATCTTAAATAAATATTTTGAAAATAAGACCTGTATTCTGTTTGTATTTCTAGTTGCATTCAGTGTTGATATTGTTCATTCACGAGTTTTATTTTATAGGATGATTCTTTGTCAGATGCGGAATGAATAAATTAAATTATTTATTCAGCTTATTGTTCTTTTATAAATTTTAATGCAACTTTAATATTTATTTTTGGCTTTAAAATATTTTAGGTATTGATACATCTTTACAATATGTTTTTGAAAATTACTAAAACATTAATTAATTTGCATGATAGTGTTATATATTTGTTTATGCATACCTTTAGCCTAAGAGTTATTTAGCTTTTTTTTAAAAATAAGTATGAAAAAATCTCTATTGATGGTATTAAGGTAATACCTTCATTGCATTGATACATCTTTGCAAACTGTTTTTGAAAAATTATTAAAACATTAATTAATTTTCATGTATTTGTCGGTTCATCCTTTAGCTCAAGAGTTATTTAGCTTAAGGTTTTTTTTTTGTTTATAAATTTAAATAAATCACTATTGATGGTGTTCACATTTGGCACAAATTACAAAATATTTTTAATATATATACAGAATATTTTTGAAAAATTGCTAAAATATTAACTAATTTGGTTGGTAGTATTTATATGCATTTATCTATTCATGCTGTAGCTTAAAGTTTTTTGATAAATATGAATAAATCTCTATTCATGTGTTCACATTTGGTACAAACGTCTATCAGGCATGGATCTGTGTTTACGAAATAATTTTGATTAATTACTAAAATAATAATTAATTTAGATGATAGTATTTATAATGATTTATTTATGCATGTTTTAGCTTAAAGTTTTTCGACAAATATGAATAAATCTCTATTGATGTGTTCACATTTGGTACAAATGTCTATCAGGCATTGATGCATGTAAAATTTTTTTTTTTTGAAAAATTACTAAATTATTAATTAATTTGTATGGTAGGAAGCATTATATATTTGTCTGTTCATTTTTTATTTTGAATTATTTAGTTTGAGATTTTTTAATAATTATGAATAAAACTCATTTAATGTATTCACATTTGATACTAAGGTATTTCTGGCATAGACACAGCTTTACTGTATTTTTTTTTTACTAAATATTTTTAAAAAATTAATAAAATATATTTTAATTTGCTTTATCCTCTATGTAACAGGTTATAATTTTTTTCTTTTTTGACTTATATGTAACTTACAAATTTTAGAAGAAAGCGTATATTCTTTGGCTGATACTTGAAGATATATAAGTCACATGACTTAAAGGAACAATTTTGCTAAAATATTGATAGATATCAGAAATAAACAAAAAGATCTTTTACTTTTGTTTGTTTTTGGTTAAAAAAAAAGAAGAGTTATTTCACTCTTCAAATTACTGTGGTGTGAAATTTAAATAGATTGGTGAATTTCAGAACAGATTATACGTTTGTAAATTACTACTATTTCATAACACAAATTATAACAACAGATAAATTATATAAAATAAGCAGACTAGGAATGTTGCTTGAATATCTAACAACAAAAACATAGTTCCACATTACTTCCAATTTTTTCTTTTACTATTTACGGTTTAATAAGACTAAAAATAGGAACAAAATATTAATGTAATATATAGATTTTTATTGTACTTTTTCTTATGTGCAGAATTTTAAAGATTGTTCGAAATTTATGTCAGAATTGACATCTCATTAGTAGCATGAAAAAAGTGATCTTCACAAAATAATCTAGAAAGGTCATATAATTGCTGCAATGCTTACTTTTTAAGTTTTTTTTTTGAATTGCAGTCTTTTTCAATAACAGCTGCAGTTATTGACAGTGTTAGAGCAATTTAGAATACATTCAGAGATACAGAATACATATAAGAGGTCATTATCATTCTCTGCACTCATTCCTTGATTTCCATTATCGTTGTTCAACACAGGGAGGGGAATTAAAAATTTTAACGAAAATTGTGGGAGGAGTGAATTCCCAGCAAAAGTTTTGAGGAATTTAACTCAAATCTGATGCACTACGTTTCTAAACGAGTATTAACGTACTCTGCCTGTAATATAGGTTAAGTGGCCATAGGTTTCTCAAATCGAATTAAAAGTTAAGTTCTAAAAGTAGAGATACAAGAATTTTCATGCATATTTTAAACTCGTGCATGTCCTCAACATATTTTGAGCAAAAAATAATGAAATATTTGGAAAATGTGTAAAAAAAAAAATGTTTGGAAATAAACTTACAAGTGGCCGTCTCTTCTTAATGTTGAGGTGAACTGGCCTTCCAATACAGAAGGGGAAAAGTGAGGTTAAAAAGTAAGAAAAACCCATTTCATACAGAAAACCATAAAAATCTTACGATAAGTTGTAAATAATGAATTCTTTCATGGAAAATAAGTAAAAAGAATCTAATGACCAAATCTAATGTGTAAATCTAATATTAATATAATGTTCGTGCAAAATGAAATACGAAGTACCGCCTAGTATAACTTTTGATTTAATGATCGGATTTTCGCGTACCAAACTCGATCTTTATGGCTTGATGGCCTGACCTCAAATATGCTAATTATTTAGTGCAGAAGATATTTTATGTTATGAAATTGGACATAAAAATTTGCTTTCTCTGAATAAATATATTTCCCCCCCGACGGATTCTTGATCTTCATAATGTGAGGAAGAGTACTTGCAATCTGGAAAATGTGGTCCCGACAGTTTGGAAGTTTGTACCTCCTAACGTTAATTTTGCTTTTTGCGTATTTCGCTATTTGTCGAAAACTTTTTAGAGAAATCGAACTATTTTTGCTCTCAATAAGAAAATTCATTTATCCAAACTCCTTGCAAAAAATAATTTTTAATAATTATTTATTATTTTATTACACTTATGTAGAAAGAATTTTAAATTGTAACATGCCCAATTTTTTAAAAATCATTTTAAAGAAGGAAATTTTTTTATAGCAAAATACAAAATTTCAGCATAATTGATTAAATAGCTTTGAATTATCAAATTTAAAAAAGAAAAAGTCGTGTAAAGTTTGATTTCTCAAGAACTATTTTACCGATTTCGTTTAAATTTTGTATTTTACCATTTAAAATTACATTCTTTAAAAATGATATAAAAAATTGTACAACTTTACTATTACAAATCATTTTGACCATGATTAAATAAAATGTTAAAAATAATGAATAATTAATTATCAAAAATTAGTTTTTTGCATGGAATTATCTTTGTATAAACAAATTTTTCGATTTGCTTAAAAAGTTATCGAGATACGGAGAATTAACGTTAAGGGGTCTAAAATTTTGACTGTACTCCTAACCAATCTATCGGGATCATATTTATCCCCCATTAGCATATTTATTTCCCAGCATATTCATATTTATCCCCCAGCAGATATCCCCCATATTTTTGGGGATCAAAAATCCGAATCTGACAACAACAACAACAACAACAAAAAAAAAATTATTCAGAGAAAGTGTGTTTTCATGTCTGCTTTCGTAACTTGGATTATCATCTGCTGTAATTAATTAGCATATATGAGGTCAAGCCCTTGAACCATTAAGATTTGATCCTAGTACATGAAAATCCGATCATTAGATCAAAAATTATTCAGAGTGTTTCGTTTTTTATTTTGAGTTACTTAACAGATTTAATCCATCACTTTCAAAAAAGTTTTACCACATTTTTGGCAAAGGATTTGAATATTTGTGTATGTTTAGTGGAGTAGTTATTTCTTTTTATTGTCGGTAGAAACAATGGATAATCGGTTTAAAGTAATTATTTCTAATAATCGCTTTCGTCACTCTGTTTTGAATCATCACACATTCAATCAGGTTTTTGGTACTTTAAATGCCGATTTTCTCAATAGTGTTCGTTAGACTTCAAAAGCGTTTTGTTGCTTTTTCCTATTACTAATTTACGACAAATAATGTGTAAACTTATCAGACTGTTTGCAAGAGTTCTACAAATACGTATGTATTAATTATGTATGTTAGTACCCTGCATATTTTTTGCCCTAAGTGAGTCTAGAAATCTAAAGAAACTGCCTACTAGCGTAATAAATCATGAAATTTTTAAAGAGTATGAAAACTTATTCTGCATTTTGAATTCGAAGTGTAGATTTTGTACTTTGGGGGGGGGGATTTTCTTAATTTAATCAAAACTTGTCATAGAATTCTCTAATTAGTTACTAGTACTTAATAGATTTGCAATCTTTCAATAAATTAATATTTCAGTGCATTCTTTCATTAGATCGCCTACTGACACTTTCATAAGAAATACCCAATTTATTAATAAATTTATTTTTTATTGTTCCATATTTTGTTACCTAAACATAAAGCTCTCCTTTATCATGCCGACAAGATGGATATAAGATTTTTGGAAGAAAAGTAAATAAATAGCTGCTGCGTTCTCCCAGGTTTTTACTTTCATCGTGTTTACGTGTCCAAGGATAAATCCTACCTGGATTATTTCCTCTTCTGATTCCCGGATTTTCGTTTTATCTTTTGACGTCCGGAAATTGACCTTGACTTTGTGTTCCTGGCCGTAATTCTGAAAGTTCTCTCTGTTGTTTCAGTTATGTGTAGCGTAAGTTTTTACGAGAAGACGAAGAAAGTAATAAATGTGTGTACGTGACTTAGGGATGTTTGACGCTGCAACAGGATTTTGTTAGAATAAGTAAATTTTCGATGCCGCTGTTGGAAAATCACAGGTCGCGTTTTGTTATTTTTATAGTCGTAAGTTATTCTGCTTTCTCAGAATGCAATTTGCTTACTTATTGTGTGAGAAGCTAATTAATAATTACTTTATTTTATTCATTAAAATGGATTCTATTGAATCTGGTCACCAGGTTTTTAAATGTTAAAGTTGTAGCAATTTTGAAAAAAGTTAATTTAGTTAGGAGTTAATATTGTAACTTTCTGTGAACCTACTATTTGAAGCTTGTATAAATAATCTTATTAATTTTAAGTTGTAAAAAAAGGTGTTTTAAGTACTGAAAAATTTCAAACAGAAGATCTTGTATTTGTAATTGAAATGGACCAAAATTTGACCTAAAAATTTGCTTACTTATTGTGTGAGCAGCTAATTAATATTTACTTTATTTTATTCATTGAAATGGATTCTATTGAATCTGGTCACCAGGTTTTAAATG